GAGGAAAGCGGGGAGGGGGGCGACCCCAGGCGCGGCCTTTAAAGCCCGGGCTCGGTGGGGCCGAGACCGTTGCAGGTGGTTAAATAAAACCAAAGCCTTCACTGGGCTTTACAGGGAAAGCACAAGACTGTGCCGCTTCCCCTCCCTAAAGGAAAAAAACCCATCGTGTTCAAGTGTCCCTCCCGCCAGCCTTTGGCCAGGAGGGAGCGAAGGAATTGTAAACCGGGAGAAGCAGCCGACGTGAACTGAAATGCCCTTCTGGTCTCCCGTTACAGACGTGTCGGAAGTCACAGTAATGAAAAAATGGATGCGGAAAATAAATGAGCGGAAACGACTAGAGTTTGGGCTTGCTTGGAGGACAGGGTGTAAGTAAGTTAACACGGGCAGATGGCTCACGCTGGGTGTGTTAATAAAGCCATGCTTTCAGAGTCTCACGCTGTGAAACTGCTGGCAGTGATTCGCTGTGTCCCTGTCGCAGCTATCGCCGGTTACCTGGGTGTCGTCACAAGCTTTCTCCCTGCAAGCGTTTTCACCAAAACAGTGTCCTGTGGCCTCTGCCTCTCAGGGCTGGATCCAAAGTGTCCTTTTCAGCTAGCCAGCACTGGCATTAGTGAACACAACAAAAATGAGCGATTTGAGCAATGTGATTGTTATTAAAAATTGTATTTAAAGATACCCACTTGAAGACTATAGACTGACTATATCAAATTGCCCGACGAGTTGCTTGCAGGAGGCTGTGTGTGTCAGCAGGGCAAATGGTTCACTTCTGGTTCACTTAATCCTAGACTTTGAAATATAATTCATCTTCTGGGAGATTCTTGTAATTCCCATTTGTCCCTGTCAAAAGAGCGTGTCCCTGGATATAGATGGATGGGTTTGTACCTTGATCTTACATAGTTTGTGCAGCATATTTTGCGTGAACACATCAAATTCAGACTGATGTTTGGAAAAAACTAGAAATGAAAGCGTAGTCATAGGCATCGGTGTTCTCCAGTACCTTTGGCCTTTCGATGGGCTAAATTTCTGATTTGCATTGTCCCCTTAGTCAGTGCTCACAGTTTAAATTCTTCATGAAATGATAAAAAAGCCGCCTGCGTGGCAGTCTGCTTCCCTGTGGCGGCACGTCCCGCTTGCCATGGAGCACTGGTGGCTTTTAGCTATTTTCTCTATACAATCACGAGCAGGTAGAGCCATTCTGACGGGCGGGTAGAGCGAATCCGCTGTGTAACGTGAAGGCTTCCGAACACGTTCGCTGTTGTGAAGCCTCGGGAAGAGCTGACACCCACCCGACGGCGGGTTTTTCGCCGGAGTTCAGAGCCACCTCGTGGCGGGGATGCCCGGGTCCCGCACGGCTCCGGGGCTGGACCGCTCCAGGGGGGCAGCGGGAAAAGCCGCAAGCGCTGTACAGATCGTGAGAGGTGCTGCTGCTGCTTAAATAGGCTTTTGAATCAGTTTTCATTCGACCTTGTTTCGAAGAATCACGCCTGGCTATTTGGTTTTGTCTTTGCATGAGCAAAACACTTCATTAAACAGAAAAAGAGTCATCCGAAGGAGCGATTGTGTTGATCACCTCATCCGTGCGGTGCCATGGACGGCAGGGAACTGGGCAGCTGACTCATTGCAAAGCACACGGCTCTGTTGTTCACGCAGGGCGCTGCTAGCAATTACCCGTCTGCCTCAGCGTAGAGAAAGCAAAGTAAGTGGCCCGCGTTCATACTCTGTGCCTCTTCTAGGCTTCAGAGCAGGGTGGCCTTGTCCAGACTGCTGGTCCCAAGTTCCAAACTCTGCTAAGGAAATACTCTGCAAAGGTCTCACTAACCCAAATCAAACCCAGAGCAGGGGCTCTTCTTGTAATTGAACAGCGCAGAGAGAGTTCCAGCACCCAGTTATGGTGTGAGCCCGAACTGCTTAATTGTCTAGTGAAATCTTGCATCTGCAGCCTTCCACACAGTTACACGGAAGGCAAAGGGCCTGATGTTTCATCTCTCACCTTGCAAGAAAGACTGCAGCAAAGACTACCTAATTCCTTGACCTAGGCTTTCAAATGCTTTACGGTTTTTTTTCAGGCGACCCAGCCCTGTGACTCACTTAGGCCGAGACTGCACTCACTTCGCTGTCCCAGGGTACACTCCAGCAATGGACTCTAGAGGGAACATCCAAGGCACTGTGGTTGTCATATATTTATATGTGTAATACCTCGGACTTCATCATAGCCTGGGTTTCATACTTAATGCAAATTTGCTACATGCCACCTTTCTCCTGCAGTGGGTTTCACAGAATCACAGAATGTTCGGGGTTGGAAGGGACGTCTGTGGGTCATCTAGTCCAACCCCC